GTAATAATTTCTGCACGATAATATAATATTATAATAGTTCAAATTCGGCGGAGTCTGCGTGGGCCGAACGGACCGATCATTCGGCTTATAAACGAGATCCGTGATACTTAAAGAGTACCCGTTTATAATATAATGTGATTTACAAAGAACGATAATTGTTATCGCATAAACGGTCGCCCCGCGTCGAAATCGGGTCAAACGGGTGCGCGAAAATGTTTCCCAGTTAATACTCGCGACCTCAGCTCCGCCGGCATCCATATTATACAAGTACGACGAAAGTAATGATAATGTCGCGGGTACGATTCCAGCGGAAAAGATCGCGTTTTATTACAGGCACGGCTTTCTTGATATAACAATGCGCACAATATTATTAATCGGGTCGGAAAAAAAATCACAAAAAATAATAAATCCGGCGGCGGCGGCTTTGAGAGAACGTTAGGTTAGAGCGTGAAATTCCGCACCGGCTGTTCGCCGGGTCGACGCATATGCAAATGAGCCGGTCTCGGGTGCGTGATAATTATTGCGTACCCATACACACATAATATTATGACTTGGACGTTTCGAAAAAAAACGGATCGCCAAAACCGATCCGCGCACGTATAATATTATTATTATTATTATGATACCCCGGGGACCGGGTTCCCAAGCGAAACGGCCTCGGGGAACCTCGCGACCGCGAAACTGGAGCAAGCAAATAAATATTGGGTGGGGGGTTGGGGGGGGGGAAACAAGGTGTGGATGGACGTGTACACCTCCTGCACCATATAATATTATAATAACGAACGCGGAATAATATCACGTGTAACGGACCGCGTGTTGCGCGAGCCAATAATATGTGTATACAAATAATAATAATAAATACGTGTACGAGCGCTGTAACAGTCGAGACCCTGTAACCGCGGAAGCGTTTGTTCGTTTGCGTGCTCACGATCGACTTTTGCATTTCGTTCCGTTTGACTTCTCGTTTCATCGGTCTCCCGCGAATATCACTGCTGCGGCCGACACGCGGCTGCCGTGTTTGATGGCTCTGCAAAAAACGAAACATACCTATACGTACAATACGGGCACTTGCGAATCGTAAAACTAACGCGATGAATTATCGTCGATAAAAATCACGAGGATGTTAAAGATACCGGATCGGCCACGCATGTTATGCTTAATACATTGTAGACCCCGGCCCAAGAGGGACAGTAGGAGCGTATCAATCATAGGACGGCGGGGTTAATTTAAGCCTTTTCATCATTGGTTTTGTTACGGCGTAGATCAGTATACGAGATCGCAAAAGTGCCAAGCACCCATTGGTCTGTCCATGTACTTAATATCCTTAATACCTATGAACAAAGTCAAGTTCCCTCTACCCCTCTCCTTTCATTGAAGACACACCGTCCATAATTATTGTTTACAGTTTACTTGAAATTCGAAAAATCCGCTCACAAGTGCAATTTCTCGCAAAAAAAAAAAAAAAAAAGGAATCTTTTCGTTCGCAGAAATGTACAATATTCCGTGTTTATGTATAACTGTACATGTACACTTTTTTGGTTACCGTCTCTATACGGTTCACAATACTGTATAAGTTTTCGGCACCATCACTGTCAATATCTTCCAATAACCACGATCCCAGACATTTCCCCGTCGGCCTGTTAAAAACTCTGTAGGTATTGCTATATTCTGTTCGTAAACCGATTCCGTAGGTATTCTGAGTCACCGAAGTACATCTGGGTCATCTCTCGTCTGGTTTCCATTTGTTTGATACTCAAAATTTGCTCCTTTGTTCTTTTCACATAGCTTGTCGAAATCACTTTGTCCCTTCACATGACTCGTTATGAAGGGCACTTTCGTTATTTCCTTGGTCTCCGCGTTTTTCGGTCTACGTTTAGCGACTTAACCCATTATCCAAAACTTGTATTGTTCTCAGCAACTGATTCTTTAAGCTATCAGCTTATTAATTTTATACGCACTATTAGCGGACATATTTCGCACCGATAATTTAATGTAGGTCTTATTAATTATAACTATTATTTTGTTCCTCTTGAATTCCTCCTTCGATTTTTAATGTGTTTAACTACTTTTATCAATGCAAATATATGCTCATTCTGCTGTGCAAGCGTGATTTTACTCCCGAGCGTTTTATATTTTTTAATTCTTCCAAATAAATGCATGTGACATATGTTACTTGTTTTAGATTCTCAGAAATATTGGTCTAACTATTATTTACAAATTCATTCATTTTTTCGTTTGTTTTTTATCTCTATATATACATTTTGTATTTATATATTTATTTACTATAATCATTATGTGTTTTAGATTCTGAGTGGAGCGAGGATGATATTGGTTTTACAATGATGTTTATTTATTTTCTGTGGATTTACCAGTTATTTTGCTTCGATTTACACTGATAATACACTTTTTCCGTAAGAAAATATAACTGGGAAAATACTTTAAGGAGGCCTTTTTTTTGATTTTTCGAAGAGTTTTCATAATAAATTGGAAAAACCGAAACAAAATGTAGGAAAACCGGGAAAATAGATATACAATATTAAACAAATATTATTAAAAAAAATGTTTAATACACAAGTAACTATAATATGACATATATATTGTTGGCAAAGCAACACTATCAACAGAAATTGTCGATTCTAGATTCTGAGCTAAGTGAGGAATGTATTGGTTTTACAATGATACTTATTTTTTATATTATTATTATTATTATTATTTTTTTTTTTGTAAACACTTTTTCTACCAGGAAGCTTACTCGGATTATTAAGTATAGCACCTTTTCTGAAAGGGAATGTTCTCTAGGTGGTACTATAATACATAATATTTGAAATTTGTATTGATATTCGAAATAATAAGGAAAACCTGATTCTTTAGGTTAAAAAAGATTTAAAGATTAAAAAAACGGTTGTCATTGGCAACAGTTTTTATATACTTTGTGTTATTATTAAGTTGTTTTGTTATTTTAACTTCTTTTTAAACAATCATTATTATAATGAAAACGCACCTTGTTGAAAAAGCAATACTATAGACCGAGCTATATTAAAATAAAATAAATTTCGATTTCAATACACTCTTTTAACTATTAATCTTATTATATTATATTTCTTTAATCTATACTTAAATATCACTATCAATTGAACTCCGCTCAGAATCGTTATTTCGTTAGTAATGGTTTGTCGTTGCTTACAGATATACATTAAATTCCCTTCTGTATTTTATCTTCCCAACTTCTCACCTTCAGCAGTGACTGCATCCACGTGCGGAGTATTTTCGTCTTTTTTTTTATAATTTTTCTTAATAACTGGCATTCTGGGGTACCTTGACAACAAGGGAAAAATACAATTAATAATACTTTGCTCAAATTCGTGTTTCGTTAGAAATGGTTTACTGATTCATAGAGATATAAATTGAATTGCTCTATATATGATAATACTATTTTGTAACTTCCTCTTAAAACAATGACACATCCATCAACAGATAAGCCTTTTGTTTTTTTTATGCAAAAGATAAAACGTTATTCCCATAATAACATATAATTACAGATAATTATTTTTTTTCTGGGTTCGCATCTTTAGGCATTTCACAAAAAAACATAAACATAAATAAATGCTATAATGAGCTCACTTTATAGAAATTTTACTTCCTACTCCTACCCCAAACGATACGCACGTTCCACACTCCATAAAAAAGGTGTTTTGAAAACATACATTTGAGTATAATAAAATAGCAATATTATTCGTTTTCGTTATTTTTTACATATATTAGTGTATTATTATATGATATTGACTCGGACATGGATCACCGTGAACGCAGAATACGTGGAACACCATAATATTATTATCGACAGACGTGACCGGCACTAATTTAGATAGCTGGCGTTTACGCGAAATTACTGAACCGACAAAATATTCTTCTTCTTTAAAAAAAAGAAAAAAATCACTTATTTTAATTCTCTGTGAAAAGTACCGGGTCAAGACCTCGAAAGTGGCTTTGGCGTACCCACTTGTGTTATTTATCCTTTCGCAACTCTTTTCCGGGTTCCGATTATATTTTCAAAAACATCAAACAATCGATCAATTAATAACATAGAAGTTTCATCGGCACTGCAGTTACGATAACTTTAAAGAAATATACAAATAATACGATTTTGCAAATTGCTTGTTTTACAAATCTTTTTTGTTTATTTTTCTCGTATGCAATTTCGAACGTAAAATAAACGGAATGTCTCGAATTAAAAATTCTACACGGAGTCTCACACATGAATTTTTAACTTTTTTTTTTAAATTTTTTTTGTTGATTTCAGGGTTCATTCGATTATGTAGAGGAAACATACTATGTAAAATTATACCTGAACTAGTCAAACGAGTGTAACGGGCAACCGTTACTCAAGTATACTATCTACGTTCGAGCTTGTCAAATATTTCAAATGAAATAGTCGTTTTTTTTAAACACAGTAAAGCTTCTATGTAACGGTAACCGAAGGGACCGGAAATAATGACCGCTATTTATAGGTGACCGTCCTTTGGAGGTGTCTTATATAGACATATCACTTGACGGGACCAATTACAAATGACCGTTACATAGAGGTAACCGTCTTTTAGAGGTGACCGTTAACGGAAATTTTCTTTCGGGTTTTCATTTACTTTTGTAATCTAATAATTCAATAATATCAACAAAATTTCAAAAGGTGCTCAAAAAAAAAAAAAAATCGTTTAACTTAGGCCGTGCGGCGGCTCCATTACATAATCTGGCGGTCTGGTGGCCAAATGTTAACTGCGCATTATTCATTAGTTAATCATGGACAAGTGGGAAATAATCTTTTTCAGTAAACACAAACTGTGGAGCTATTATCTATGGTTTTATTATTGCGTGCTTAGAATATTATGCACTCACGTCGCATGACTTAACTATCAATGAGGTGATTGTGCGACCGCGTCTAGTTTTTTTTAAAGAATAATAGTTCTAAGCACCTTTCGATACGTAGTTACCGGTTCAGACATTTTTTTTTTTTTTAAGCATTTTATTATGTTTAATATAAAATATATGATGGTGTATTATGTTGTATTTTACCTGCAGGTCGTAATGAGCGACGGAAGATCAACATGTTTGGCGAACACTGCTGATTCGAAAGGCCAAAGAAAAGATAACAGGAATTTGATCAAGGAAAACATTGAGCGTTTCTCTGGAGCGCGTTATGTTTACGTTAAGGATAGGTCTCAATTAAACTCTCTCAATACTAGCGAAATAGATTATTTTTTTGATAAAAAAAAAAAAAACCTGCTTACTCTTTTTTATACAGTACACTAAATTCGCGTATCTCTATATTATTATCTCATCATAATTTGTTTATTTTTTTTTTCGTGAAAATCGTTGATTTGTCACAAATATAAGTATCTAAAATCGTAGTTATCATAAACAATATTAAAGATAACGTATTACCTCGGTCATAAAATTAAAAAGAAAAACAATAAATTATTTTCATTTCCCGAATATTGTTTTCTGATCAGATTTTGTCAATCGAGATATGACTACGAGTGATTCTTCACACATTGCGCGGTCCATCAGTTAATAAATCTATGGTTTTAATGGTATTATTGTTTTGTAAAAAATTTTATCAACGAAAAGCTCGTGTAATATTTATACGGTCTTTTACAGGTACCTACTCTACGTGTTTTGATTAATATTATGATTTATGATAATTGTTTGTTCACAACGGATGGTAATAAATGTGCGGATTTTTCGCGACGTCGTCGGCATAACGATGAAATGAAAATGCAAAATATATTATTACGTTTTAACGGAGCTTGAATTAAATCGATGTACTTGACTCAAAATAATTATTTTATATACTTGAATGACATTCACGAAAATAAAACGATTGATAAAAGCGATATTCAGAACGAAAACAATAACTATTATTGCAAGACGATTCAGTTTTTATTATTTTTTTTTTACTTGAAAATATATTCATTGAAAAATATAAAGTTTTTAAGATTAATTAAAACAAAATCATACTGTCAATTTATAAAATAACTGTTTGAGTTAATTTAATTTCAAAACGTCTCTTGTTTAACGGATATAATAACGAATACACTATATATTATTTGAATTACATCTTTACTAAATTCTATGTTTTTCGTGTATAACAATACTGTGTATATTATTACGCATCCAAAACATTATAGAGTCTCCATATGTATTTATAAAAACATACCTTAAATTAATACATTTTTCTTTTATTTTTAACTTTTTTATTTACACTGTATTATAACAATTTGATACGTCTTGTATTTGACTATGAACGATTTTAACATAGAAAAACCAAGTGCACGCGTTTCCCATATTCTGCCATAAATGCATTGTATCGGTGCCAACATTGTTAGAAACAGGTAATCAATTACTAGGCATATTATAAGACGTAAATCGCATTTGTTATCCAGAGATGTTTAAACAACTTACTAGATAGCCGACTTGATATTGTTATTGACGGCAATAAAATAGCCGGAAAAAAAAGTAAAAAGTAATCAGTAAAAAAATGTAAACAGAAACATCCTTGGTAAAAAAAAAAAAAATACGTAATTTTGTTGACTTCAACATTTTACACTAAAAATTTCATTGTAAAGTCGATCCTCTAGTTGTTTGTATAATATCTGTTATGCTATATTTTTTTCTAAAACCGGTGATAATCTCTGTTGTTAAAACTTCTCTCACGATTGTTGGGACGGTATTAAGTTGTAATATTTTCCTATCAACGTTAGCACCGGATTACTCGCTTTCTCTCTGTTATCAGTCCAGTTATTTATGTTATTATAGTTTGTTCTCCATGAGAATGATGTAGGTATACCTAATAATTATTGGGAATTTTTTCGGTTGACAGGTCTGTTCGCTCCCAGTCACGTGAATTTCAACCTGTTGGCCAACAAGACCGAGGATATCGCCTATGCAGTCATAATGAGATCAGAAGTTTGAGCCGAAACCAGTCAATCTTCCGTATCCATCAGAATCAACTGTATTCCGTTCGCGTTTGCAGTCGTCTCGTTTTTGTTTTGTATTTTATGTTTGTTTATATTGTGTGCAAATTTCAAATCGAAAATCCTGTTCCGAGGTATTGTGTGTAGCATATTTTCTGAAAGGAAATTTTGTCTAGTTTACGCATTAAATAAGTTATTTTTTATTTTTTAAGGGGTTTTTAAAATAATTTGAAAAAGCCGGAAAAAGACGAAAAATTAAAACTGATATACTTACGGCGTTATAATCCTTTTATTTTAAATTTGTACGGTCCATGTTTTCTATAAGAAATGTTACTCCAATAAAAATAAAATACAAGAGACCTTTTTTCTTGTATTTTCAATTTCTTTGTTGAGTAAGTAATTTATTTTTTGATATTACCTGTAGTTTTTTTTAATTGAGCAATACCCAAAAATCACGTAGAAAGAACAGGAAAATTTACGAAAATAATGGTTTTCTTATTTTCGATTTTCTCTTTTTGTTGTAATTCAGTAAAAATATTCGTAGAGACTTGATATTTCGACAAAAATCTGAAATTTGCTTTTTCTAGATATGGTAAGGTCAAATCATTTGAGGCATTTTTAAGCTATTAATAGATATGTCAATTTTTACAAGTTTTTGTACATAATTTTTGTTTGGTAGGTATTCTATAGATAAATTTATTAGATAAAACAGAAATGATTTAAAATTTAACAGGAAGTTTAAAAGTATTTTTTTTTATATGGATTTTAATATCAAATTTTGATAAAAATCGTAAATATTATAGCCTTCCAAAATATGTATAACTTAACTTTGCTCCGAATCTTTTTTCGTTAAGAATAGTTTATTGTTGAATACACATATAAATTAAGTAACTTTATATATTCTACCTTCCCAACCTTCCATCTACAATAGTGGCAAACCCGTTATCAGAATCAATGATTTGTATATTATTATTGTTATTCATATGATTGTGATTTTTCTTTCGGTGTAGGTTAATATGTTTTGTAAAACTCCTAAAACTTTCTATACAATTCCGAAAATCAACTAGGTTACGTTTGTACTTTGGCCGAACTCGGATATGGTCTATAAATACGCGAACGAGCGGGATTCGTAAAACGAATGTAAAACGTGACCCGATAGACCGCATGGTGATAACAATAATAATAACAATTTATCTATTTTTTTAGTCATCGAACTCGTATGTACGTATAAGAATCATCGCAAATCCTACGCACTATTCTCGTATAGTCTCGTATATTATAACGAACATCGGATAAAGAAATGGACGCAGAGTGTGCGTGTAGGACGTAGGTATACGCTATACGACTGTTATCGAAATATTATTTTAGTCGTACCGTCGTCGGCGCAATCGTATTCAAACTGTCTGTGCTCTGGATACGATACATGCGTGTATAAACAAAAAAAATTACGATAAAATCACCGTTTGTCGTCGAGGCATCTTGACGCGGTAACGCCGATTGTGTCCGATGGCGTAAGAGCACGTACGTGGTGGTCGTCGGAGATAATAATAATATTATAACTTTACTCCCATCGCGTTTCACGATCCGGGTCAATTTTAATAGTCGGACGAAAAATAAAAACGACTGACGACGTGATTAGAAATTATTATTAAAATAATGTTTCGTCGTCGCTTGTAAAAAACGTCTATTTAATATCGGTTTATTTTTTGTTTTTAAAACCAACCGTATTTCGAATATCAATTTAACACTATCCGTGTAACGTTTTTAGAAAAAACGATTGTAACCAATGCCAAAACAAAATTGTATCCACATCAAACCATGAATATATAACAACTAAAATAACTTCGATAATTCTCGATTTGAAATTTTAAATGGCTATAAATAGTTCGAAAATCGCCAGAATGGTTGTAAATTGTACCGCGTCTATAAAATGGTAAAATATGAGTATTCGATGAAAATTGTACACATCTATTTGATTATTGCGTAAAAATGTACGTTTTGCCGATGTTTTTCCCCCAGTTTTTCTCAATTTTTAAGAAACTACTAGAAAAATTTAAATAATAATAATAATCTCTTTGATTGAAGGCACACGCTAGAATTTTAGGTAGGTTTTGTCTGTGGCCTAAAAATACCTATGCATATATTAGAAATTTTAAAGAAATCAATTATAATGGGAAAAAAAAATGAACTGAAGAATATAGCCAAGCTATTACTAATTTGGTGTGATTCCGAGAGGTTTGGAAGGGGGAATGCGTAGTCGAATGACTTGCACCACAATTTAATTTTGAGTGTGTGCCACTGTTTTGACTTCATCAACCAAACGAAATTCGTTACCAGAAAACACTCTTGAAATTGATGATCTGAGCTTGTTAACACATTACCGTAAATTCAAAACGCTATTTAAGAAAAGTAAAAAATACTTACAAGCAACTGTACATCATTTTATTGTATTAAATGTGTAATCGAATATTTTAATTATAAAATATTATAAAAAGCGTATTAATATATTGACAGCGACTAATAATTGTATAGTTCTAAACTGTACTTAGCAAATCGACGGTTTATGATATTAAGTTGAATGTTTGTATGGTATTATTGTGGTCGTCTATACGTTTATTTCGTTATAGCTTCGGGTAACAATTTAGTGGAACTATAATAGTATTATTGTTGTCGCAAGCTATGAGCACTGGTGCGAAAAATTGCGATGACTCTTTAAAACGTATAATAATATACCTAGCACAAAATACATAATATTAACGATATGGTGTACGAAACAAAGTAGGTACGAAAATAATAGGTGTACGTATAATATAATGTACTAGCTTGTATAGTTTTTTCTTCTTTATACCAGTGTTTCCCAACTCGGATATTTTTAATTATGAGGGATACGTTAATAAACTTTTAGGCACAAGCGTAATAAGTGGCAGGCACGCATACAGAAAACATTTTGGAAGGTGCGGTCATAGGTAAAAAGACTTAACATTTTAAATTATAGGACAACTAACAAGTATAGTATATGATGCGTTAAAAATAGCACTTTTTAAATTTTTGGTTGAACCCCTTAAACAAAGGACGGTCACGAAAATTGGTTGCGATAAATGGTTAATTATGATAAAAATAAATCCAAGGAGTAAAATGCCCCTACTTGCTCCTCTCCCTCCTACGTATAGGTGTCCGGTAAGGGAAGACGATTATTCCGAAATAAATGTTTGTATAGTTTATGACTATTATTACAACAAAATACATATAACAATAATTTTAACACGGCGT